TATTTACACACATACACGTATTTAGTCTCACACGTTATTTGTTGTGTGTGTATGTACTTTTGTAGATATAGTGGATAACATCGACCTATGTGCTATGTATGACGACATCGGTTGCGTCAAAGGAATAGAGAGAATTTCGGGAATCTCATATGAATTGTGCGAGAGAAAATACTCATTTTTTTCACTCCTTAAAAGACCGTCTTCGAAGTGATAAATGTAAAACATAATATGCACTTAACACTTTTCTATTCTTTATATATGTCTGTAATTATTTTTAATATTGTTTCATCACGCTCACTTAGTATATGGTTATATATGCACTTTCCCGATTTAAAATTTTGTATATATGCGTTATTTAAAATTTTATATATTTCACTTTTTAATTTGTGTAAAGAGGGATCACCCGTTCGTTTTTTTGTTTTGGAAACACATATTTTCGTCTCTTTTTCTCGATTTGTTTCACTCAACTACACTGAAATGTGGAGTGCTAATATATCATCACTAATTCACTATAGTAAGTATATTATTTTATAATTTTACACTAATTTATTTTATTAATGCACTCTCATATTAATGGAATGGTAATGTGTCACTTAATGAAATAAAATGTAGTATCGAGTGGTCCTTTTTAGATACTCACTCTTTGGAAATTATAAAGATATTAATGGAATAGTAATATGTCACTTAATGGAGCGAAATATATTTAAATTGTCGTAGACACTTTAATAAATAGTATATATATATATATATATATATATATATATATATATATATATATATATATATATATATATATATATATAAAAGTAATATATTTCAATATTATTCCATTAAGTATTTAATTAATTATTATTTAGTTAATAAAATGCATTATTAACTAAATTTTGATTTTTTATTACATTTATTTACGAATTAATTATTTTAATAATTTTCAATTATATAAAATACTTTATATTTAATTTTCCTCGCATCTTTCATTATGATTTTTTTTTTTTTCGATAATGATGTAACATAAGTATTTGTAATGGTTATTTTGCATATCAACTTATACTTTAGAGAAGAAAAAAAATAATGTCTTGCATTAACATAAAATAATAATTTGATTTGATTTGTTTGATATTCTTATAATGAAAAGTATTGATTTTGAGGATATAATTAATGACTTGATTTGATTTGTTTGATATTCTTATTAAAAGTATTAATTTTAAGGATATGATGGATCACTTGATTTTATTTGTTTATTTATTTTTTGTTATGTTTGCCTTTGTTATATACAAATTGATATTATTTAGGTTTATATTTATCATTGTATCAAAACATGTGTGTATTATGCTAAATAAATTATGAACATAATATTTTGTACCTGATAAACACGTAAAAGTGGTAATATTTTAAAAGCCATGCTTTATATATTTAAATTGACTTTGTTATATCCATTAGCCAATTTTTACGAGGTAGATTAATTGATTTGATTGTTTGGTTATTTTTGTTATGTTTCCTTGGTTATGTTATTTCTGATTTTGTTTAATACACTAAATAAATGTTATTATCACATCAATACATGTGAGATGAATATTTTTTTAGTAACCCCTAACTATCACATTTATTTATTATGCATCTCAATAATTTCGGAGTCTTATTAATTCTAATTGTTTGAATTTGTTTGATTTGTTCTAACCGAGTAACACCACAAATAATAAAATATATTGTTGGCTGAAAGATATTTTATTAACATATTTAGTATGTGATAATTAAGTA